TAAGTATGGTATGTGCTTTGCACCGTCTAAGTGCAAAGTACTGTTACAAGACTGGCAGGAGCCTGTACTTACACTCACTCTTGCGGGTGAACCGCTTGAAGTTGTCGATAAGTCTGTGTATCTAGGTAGTTGTGTGAGTGCTGGCGGAGGGGTGACGGATGAGATTTCCAACCGTATAATGAAGACTAGGGTGGCATACATCAACTTAAGCCACCTCTGGCGCCGTCGCGACGTTAGCCTGGGTGTCAAAGGTCGGGTATACAGGGCTTCGGTTCGGGCTATCTTGCTCTACGCCTGTGAAACATGGCCTCTCCGAGCTGAGGAAGTGAGGCGACTCTGCGTGTTCGATCATCGCTGTCTCCGCAGGATTGCTTGCGTTCGATGGAATCATCGCGTGAGTAATTCTGAGGTTCGGTGGCGTGTGTTTGAACACATTGGAGATCACCATACCACACAAAGGAAGACAAGAAAATGAGTGAAGAGAATCAATAGAGTTTTGACAAGTATAAGAGTTAGTGAAACAGAATGAGTAATGGTAGAAAGGAATATGAAAGATTACAGAGACTGAATACATCTGCGTAAGCCATTGACAACGATTTTCAGCCATGTCATGTCACCTATTGTCTCCAGCCATTGATTGATTCTTAGAGTCCTTAGGGCGGGCCCCAACCCGGAAGTCCACATCTCCCTCCCTACCTGACTCAGTTAATTGTCAAGGATTTCATGGATTGATGAGGCCATGTTTTGTTTGGCCACCACCGCTTACTCTTTTCCAACCCACAACACCTATATCAGCTAGTAATGCCCGTCCGTCGGGGCAGGGAGGCGATGGTTAGGCATGCGCAGCACGTCACCTAGCCATCTCAATCTATGTCACTTTGTAGCCTCTTCGATTGATTTTCCCTCTTTGCCCAACCAACACTCTACGCCTAACGTCAACACTACTTACCTTATTATACCACCTAACGTGAGAAAGAGATCGTAGACATCTATGATCAAAAACAGACAACCTTTTCATGTCTTCAACTCGTATTGGCCATGTTTCAGAGCCATAGAGAAGGACGGAGTGAACTTCTGAGCAGTACACACGTCCCTTGGTTGATAGCGGGATGTCACGCCTACGCCAGAGATGGTGTAAGTTAGCGAAAGCAGCTCGAGCTTTTTGGATCCGTGCTGAGATTTCATCATCAATCAATCCATTGGTGCTGATACAACTTCCCAAATAGGTGAATTGGTCAACATGTTCTATCACTTCACTCCCTATCACTATCACTAAGCTGGGAGTTGACGTAGTCCAGTCAGTCCTGTAGCAGCATCTTACATTTGACATGGGTGCATCGCATGCGAAACATACGAAGATTGCTGCTCCTCAAGGTGTTCAGAAGACTCTGCTCTATTTTGTCAGCATCCTCCCCTAACAGGACAATGTCATCTGCATATTCTAAGTCCATAAGACTATTCCGTGGTAACAAGTCGATTCTTAAGTCGTTAAGTTCAGTTAAGGAACATCATTAATCGCTGTGAAATGCAGGTATAATACATCCACTAACTGACGAGTCCCAGCCAGGACGAAATGCGCGTTATCCTGGATTACTCCATCCATCCTGCTAGTCACCATCCATCCACCAATCAACCTTTGTTGCTTATTTTAAATTCTTATCAGAAAGTAGGCATTTCGAATTCACACAGAAAGTGGTTATTCGTGAAGTTTACTTAACAACAATAAGAAACGCTTAAGAAAAGCGAGCAACATACAGGAAATACAAAACACGTAATACTAAATGTGAATAGATATTTAGAAGTGACTAGAAATCAATTTTTGTAAATAGTCAAGATCAGTGGGTCAGGAGAAACTATAGTAACAATAATAATGAAAATAGTTAAACAAAGAAAAAACTGAATATATAATTATGTAATAATAAGTGGATTAAGATTGTTATCAGGGTAAACGAAACCAAGCTCGGTGAAATTATTTGATTGAGATGCTGACTAGCAGTTGAATCCAACACGTGCATTTCGTCTAGTTTGGGACTGACTTGTTACTCTGGATGTATCTGAATTAACCCAGTCAGTTCCCAAAAGGGACTAGAAGAACCCAATAGCAATGTTTCAAACGCCAAAGTATTATTATTCACTAAACAAACACTTAAGCCACGAAATTCTCCTCGTCTGATTGATACACCCGTTGAACATCCAGATGAACACAAGTCCCAAACAGGACGAAATGCATATGTTCTGGATTACACTGCTTGTTATACCATCCCCTAGATCACCTCAGTTTAATCAATCCTCAGATATCGTCAAAGCGTCTGTACGAGGCGCTGACATGTGCTAACAGAGGCGAAACATTTCGATCCAATTAACTGGTGTGAAAATCAAAGAATCACTTTCAAAAATAATAATAAAGTTGGGACCAGCAGGGTAACAGCAGGTCAGGCGTGAGGGCAAATACTCGCCACGAAGACATTGGCTAGCGGTCGCGCTATGTCGTGAATTGGCAGAACTTGGAATTATTCATTGGCTAGCCATTGGATCGGGTCCCAGTGGCATAATGGTCTACGAGCCCGCCTTGTAAACAGGAGGTCCTGGGTTCGAACCCCAGTGGGTGCATACTCATGGAGAGTACCAAACGAGGACTAGAGAAACAGTTGTCTGGCAGTACTTCCAGGTCTTCCAATGGTTTTCTAACCGATGTCAGCTCATGATGAAATCCTGTAACCAATCTTTGGTACATTGAAACAACCGAATAGGCGATTAAATCCTTTCTATAGTTTGGTTTGTAAGGATTAGTTATGTTTTACGAGTTGATCACGGACTGATATCAGTTAGAGAACCATTGAAAACCAGGGAGTACTGAACAGCTGCTGTTTCATTCTAGTTTGGGAATCATCGGCAGTACGCACCAACTGCAGCTGTCCAGTACTCCCTGGTTTTCAATGGTTCTCTAACTGATACCAGTCCGTGATCAACTCGTAAAACATAACTAATCCTTACAAACCAAACTATAGAAAATTATTCTGATACTCGCTAGTGACTTGCTACAGGATGGAGCTTCCTGGAGTTCTAGTGAGAAGTCGTGACCAGTGAGGTGCAATTAGAAGTCACGTGTGTGGATGGATGTCCCACCAACGACAATAGTTGGGGTCGCGCTAAATCACCAATTGGTAGAAGTTAGAATTCATGCACTGGCCATTGAATCGGGTCCCAGTGGCTGAATGGTATACGAGCTTGCCTTGTAACCGGAAGGTCCTGGGTTCGAATCCCAGTGGTTGCGTACTGCCGATGATTCCCAAACTAGGATGAAACAGCAGCTGTCCAGTACTCCCTGGTTTTCAATGGTTCTCTAACTGATATCAGTCCGTGATCAACTCGTAAGATTAAATCCTTGTTTAAAATTAGTCTTTCTTTTAAGTGATCTTATTTATGGCTTAAATGTGGATTCGTGGAGGAAATCACATTAAAGCCAATTATGTATAAAATTACATGATCCTGATGATTCACTTCATAATAATGCAAGAGGAATGAATGTTAGTCGACTATCGGGTATATATATTTATCTTGTACATCTTTTGTTCCAGTACTGTAATAATGCTGACTGAGTGATGCAAAATTCACTAAGCACAGAGGATTTTGAGCATAATGTCGAAATCTGACATATCACCCTAAATATTTTTTTTATTTGTTTCCCTTAAATCTTAATTAAGCTCAATTTCCTGAGACAGATTTTTCATGTACCAGGCTAAGAACCATACTCGTGCGAGGCTTGATGGTACTACTTTGACTGAGTTCCCCAGGCTGAAATAGGTGGAAAGGGGTTGAACCCCGGGGACCAGTGACTGGAAACCGAATACTTCGACCAATGGACCACACATCTCCACGTTCCTCGCAAATAATGAATGCTTAAGCATATGCAGTGGGTGTCGATGAGAACACATTCGCCAACTACACCTTACGTGCGCGGTCTGAGGTTCGACCCCCAGCCAATACACTCCTAAACCTTGCTCTGTCTATCTGTCTGTTTTCGACATAGAACTTTGCACATATGTGCGCCAGTTCAAGTCGCCACACTCCCTCCTTGTAGCACACAAACCAAGAGAAGAAAGTAGGAGAAATGCATAATAATATAGACAGTAAATAGAGGTGTGAGACAAAGGTATAGTAATAACGAAGAACAAAAGTTTCATTGGAAATCACAAGTCACAAGGAGTGGATGCATCTGCGACAGCCATTGAGAACGATGAGTTTGAGCTATGTCACCAATTGTTTCCAACCATTGGTTTTTAACGTCCCGAGGACCCCAACAAGTCAGGAAGTCTACACCTTCCTACGTGACTGGCTTAGACTAACTGTTGTAGATTTCATTGACTGGTGTCCATGTTTTCGTTTGACCGCCTCTGGCCCTTTTCTAGCCTGACCCTATATCAGCTAACATTGCCTGTCAGTCGAGGAAGGCGATGACTAGGGATGCAATCGTAACACATGTCCTAACCATCTCAGCCGATGTAATTTCACAGTTTCGTCAACTGATTTCCCCTCCTTACCTAGAACTCGACGCCTAACCTCAATATTGCTCACCTTATTACACCACTTCACACGGGAGATAGAACGCAGACACCTATGATCAAAGACAGCTAATCTCCTCATGTCTTTCGCTCTCAATGGCCAGGTCTCACAGCCATAAAGGAGGACGGAGCGGACTGTTGAGCAGTACACACGCCCTTTGGTCGATAGTCGGATATCGCGTCTACGCCAGAGACGGCGTAAACTGGCATATGCGAAACTAGCTAACATTATGCCCAACCTTCACTCTTTACTAGGCTTATTACCGGTTATGCAAGGTTTGGGAGTGTGCCGGCCAAGAATCGAACCCAGACCACGTGAAGCGTGGTTGTTGGCAAGGTATTCTGCCGCTGAGTCACTGACGAAAGTTGTCACATGTAAATATAAATAAAGAAATACTCCAAGTAACAAACAAATAAATAAATCAATAAAACACATACCTCATTGGGTGTAGATCAAACAATGGAGGTTGGAGTTCAGCATATTCAATAGCAGTTATCCCTAATGCCCATACATCACATTTCTCATCATAACCACCTTTACGTTCAACAGCAGCAACTTCAGGCGCCATCCTAGATGAAATACGCAGAAATGATTGATTAAAATACACTGAGTAGCATATACTTTTGGATGAATAGCATGAAAACAGAAAAAATCTAAGCAGTAATTATTATTATTATTATGATAAGCAGTTCCTTATAGATTGTCATTGTTAAAAATCAATTACTCGAAATTTATTTATTTAGAATTTCACTTAAAACACAAGCCTGGTGTATATTACAGGCACCAAGAGAAGCGCCATATATAATAAAGAAAATAGGGGATAAAATGAGTGAGAGACACCACCATCCAGAAAGCAAGCAAGACATACTTGTCAAGATCATTCACCAGTCATCACTTTATGTTACTATTAGAAAAGGAAGAAAGAAGGAAATTATATACTGTATGTTCACCAGTGATTACGATTCTCGACGTTATCTGATATCGTTAAGCACCGATTTGACTTTCAATATCCTTCATCTCCCGGCGACATGTCATAGACTGACCAACTCTCGGCTTTTTCCAACCAGTTCAAGGGTTAACGAAGGGTGACCGGTACAGAAACCTTTGGAATGACATTCGTAGTATATGTCTGAGCTACCGAAGCGGGTGTTTTCATTTTAGATGACGACAGTCAATAAATGGTGACCTCCACCGAGTTCGAATACACTCTTCCAAACCGCAGAATTGTTTACACAATGATGCCATCGAACGCAAACAATCCTGCGGAGACAGCGATGATCGAACACGCAGAGTCGCCGCACATCCTCAGCTCGGAGAGGCAAGGGTTTCACAGGCGTAGAGCACGACAGCCCGCACTGAAGCTGCTCACGGAGGCTGCTCAAGTTAATGTATGCCACCCTAGCCTTCAGAAGTAACCGTCTACACTCATAGGATATCACCTTCGTTACAAAGCAATACTACAACTCGCTAAGATTCTATTGAGAAATACTACTAAGTAAAGATGAACTGGATGCAGAACTCCACTCAGAATATGCTGAATTCAAGAAATGGTAGATTTTATTTTTTTAAAATTTATTTTGATTATAGCTTGATTCCACACCGTATTTTTGGTACAAGTATGGAATTTTCAGCATGTGATATCGGTAGCCCAATTTTGCAGGCCGACCATTGATATCGGCTGTGCGTCGGCAGGGGATCGAACCCCGGACCATGTGCATGGTTGGCGGGAGTCCTAACCGCTGTGCCACCGACGCACATGTACTGATCGAATTACAACTCTACACATCATTATCATCATCGCACAGACCATAGAATCGCAGTCAAATCTCTACCTCAATTTCATCGAATTTGGAAGGGCCTTTAACAGCACTGAACGCGAAGTTATTTGGAAACTAATTCAACACACTATGGTGTGCGTGAAGTGCCCTAAATATTTATCAACCTCATTCAACAGCTGGCTGGCTATATGACAATGCAATGTGCCAGGTGATCCACAACGGGAAACTAACTCAATGAGGCGTTTGCAGTGAAGACAGGAGTAAAACAAGGCTGGTTGTCTATTATCACTGATGATATTCCTAACTGTGGTGGACTGGATTATGCGTCAGACTGTGAGGGATGGGGGGATTGAGAAGACAGGAATACTCTGAACCGATAAGAAGACTCTAGAAGATCTTGATTTCGCGGATGATTTATGTCAAGTAACATACACACACACAAACTCGAAAACTTACAGGCGAAAACTAACAAATTGGCAGAAGAAGCAGCAACAAAGACTGAACTTTAAGTGAGCATACAGGAATCAAAGGGGTGATGAAGATAACCAACCAACCAACAACAATAACAAGTAACAATCACTACCAAAGAAAGAAATTTGAAGGTTACTCTCTCTTCACTTATCTGCAAAGCATCGTTTCAACTACAGGCAACTGGCACGGATGAAGATATCAAAGCCAAAATCGGAAAGGCAAGGTGTACACCTTTATCACGGAAATCAGTTGGGGAAATCTTCTTCTGCACTCCGCGGCATAAAGAACAAGATTTGGATTTACAACACAAATGTTAGGTCAGTTAGCGCCTCTATATATATAGGTCAGAAACTTACACTATCCGTTACAGAAAAAGCATTTCGAACAGTTTACTGCAAACTTTTATCAAACGCTACTTTCGGTGCTTTGACTTTGAGAAGGCCTTCGACAGCATTGACCGCGAAGTAATTTCGAAACTACTCGAGTACTACGGCGTACTCCAAGTATTCATCAACCTTATTCAACAGCTGTACGACAACGGCACATGTCAAGTCATTCACAACGGAAAACTCAGCGAGGCGTTTCGAGTAAACACAGGAGTCAGACAAGGGTGCTTATTATTATCACCAATGATATTCCTAATTGTGGTGGACTGGATTATGCGTCAGACAGTGTATGGAAACGACAAGGCAGGGATATCCTGCACTGACCGACGTGAAGAATCTGGAAGACCTGGATTTCGCGCGTGGATGGTTTATGTCTGATGTCACACAAAATCGAAGACTTACAAGCGAAAACCGACAAACTGGTCGAAGAAGCAGCCAGAGAAGACAGGACTCCAGGTGAACATAGACAAGACGGAGGTTATGAAAATAACCAACCAACAACAACAACAGCAACATCCACCAACAATCACCATCAACGGGGGGATTTGAAAGAGGTTACTTCATTCACTTATCTAGGGAGCATTGTCTCAACTACAGGCAGGTGGAATGGACGAGGATGTCAAATGGAGAATCGGGAAGGCGAGAAACACATTCATCAACCTGAAACCAATCTGGAAATCTTCGTCACTCAGCCTGCATCAACAACAAAATTCGGATTTTCAATACAAACGTCAAGTCAGTCAGTTCTTCTATACGGATGGATCAGAAACTTGGTGGGTCACAAAGAATATTTACAACAGCCTATTGCAGACCTTTATCAACAACTGTCTTCGCTCTATACTGAAGATCAGATGGCTAACAAGAAAGAATCACCAACAAGAAACTATGGGAACAAACAAAACAAGAACCAATCGCCTAACAAATATGCAGGAGAAAGTGGAGATGGATTGGACACTCACTGAGCTGAGGAGGCCACTGGGTGACATCGCGCGTCAGGCCAGTGCTCGAGTGGAACCCGAAAGGAAAGCGACGATTGGGACGTCAGTGCAAGGGTGAGATGGAGGAGATCGTGTGAAAAAGAGTTGAAACAGTATGGAATAACATGGATGCAAGTGAAAAGTATAGCAGAAGACAGAAGCAAGTGGAGACGTGCAGTTGAAGCCCTTGGTTCCACTAGGAACCCAAGGGAACAATAATAATACTTTCGGTGCTTCCACACTGAAGATCAAATGGCCATAAAAGAATCAGCAACAAGAAACTATTGGAACAAACCAACCAAGAACACATTGCTGAACAAATATCTAGAATTAAAATGAAGATGGATTGAGCACATATACTGAGGAGACGTTAGAGGGTGACATGTTGGGGATCATGACAGGAGGATATGCAAGATTATGAGCAATCTTCGTAGAGCCAGCCAAATATAGGACCACAGAAAAATTGGACAAAGTGAAGATTTGCTGTTGAAGCCCCGTAATCCACTCGGAACCCACGGGGAACAATAATAATGATAACAACAAAGAACACAATCTAAATGAATAAATGTTTCCAATAAATTCTCATCAGGTTTTATAATTTATTACGTAATGAAATTTACTACGCAGGCATATGAATCAGCGGGTAATATAATCGACGCGATCATAATCGTAATATAACAACAAGGATACATTCAAGGCCAGTGTTTATATGGTAGTCTAGGCAGTCTAGTCAATCACTGTGAATGTCTATACTTGTAGGAATAGAGGGGAAAAATAACGATTGTTTCATAGTGATTAGGATAAAAATGTGCTTGTTATTTGTTTTTAATTCAATTCAATTATGATTTCCCCGTTGATTGACTAGACTGAGATAGGACGAAATATACCTAGCCTGTATTCCACTGTTCTTTTCTTTTTTCCTTCACATTCCCAGTGGAACATAGGGCTTCAAGCTAGAGGATTGAAGTTTCTGTAGCAGTGTTTTACTTTTACAGGATGAGGTTGCTAGCCTCATGCCCAACCTTTCCCCTTCACCAGCTTCCTTTTTATTACTGGTTTGGCGAGGTGAAGGAGTGCGTCGGTCGGGGATCGAACCCCGGACCATGTGCATGGTCGGCGAGTGTCCTAACCACTGTGCGCCACCGACGCACTGTAAGTTGTCACCAATCCACCATCAAAAAGGAACATTTAGTTTTATATAATATAAATTGTGAAACTAAGATTAAAATATGCAACTGCAGCACATCATGATGGTGAATGATCACAACTGAAGTTCCTGCAACCGACCCTGGAAGGAATGTGTGTGCGTGTGTATAGATGAGGAGTCCTAAACTATGGCGAAACAACTGTCTAGTACTCCCTGTTGGTTAATTTTTTTAATAGTCCTCTAACTGATATCAATCATCAGTGTGATCAAGAAGGAGAATGATGCTCAGGAAGGCTTCGTGTGCTTTCGAAAGTGTGTGTGTGTGGGCGGTTGTTACTTCCCGACTGCACACACCGTGGAAGTTGATTGATTCTTCAGGTACCTGAAACAGAAAGAGGGTTAGTATGGCGTGACGGCAGAGCCCAAGGGACAACTGCTTAAAGCCAGCCAGTCACACATAGCCTGTATGAACTGGTTTCTTGGTTTGGTTCCGTATTAGTGAACTTACCACCGGTTACGGACCACCACTGTAGGGTAAGTCGGGATGTACAACTGTTGGGGACGACCTTTTCTAACCCCCTCTCTACCTCCAGAGTGGAGAGACAGCTTAGCTGGCTGGCATGCTGGTCATCTGAGGGAAACACCTCACTCCCCTGTTCCCCAACAGTACGACTTTGCCCATAGTGGAAAAAATTCTTACACTATGCCGGTAACTCCTTTTTAGTCTAATCGCTATCCTAACAACCTTCTTGGCATGGTAGGACCTGAAAAGGAACAGCCAGTTCCAGCCAGTGTAGTTTGTTGGGTCAT